GAGGGATCTGCCTCGCCTCCAAGTGATACCTGGACTAGGAAGTCTTCTGGAAGTGCAGGGGTAGTGAGTCTAACTTCCCCTCACTGACTTTATCCTCAGTAAGTATTGACCAAAACAAACCACAACTTCATTGCTATTTTCAGAATTCAATCTTTTTTTTGGGGGGGGGGTGCCTTGTCTACCTCCTAGATAGTACTTCATTCTGGACCAGTTGGACTCAGCGACTCAGTATTTCACAATGGACTTTTTCTTTTTTTAGTTTTTTGAGGCAGGGTTTCTCTGTGGTTTTGGAGCCTGTCCTGGAACTAGCTATTGTAGACCAGGCTGGTCTCGAACTCACAGACATCTGCCTGCCTCTGCCTCCCGAGTACTGGGATTAAAGGCATGCGCCACCACCACCCGGCTTCACAATGGACTTTTGCTACTTACATATCAGCTGAAGAGATGGCTCAGTGGTTAAGAACATTTGCTCTTCCAGAGAACCTGGGTTGATTTCCAGCACCCACATGGTGGCTGACAACCATCCCTAACTCTGGCTCCAGGGGTTCTGAAACCCTCTTCTGACCTCAGACAGCAGGCATACATGTGGTGTACATACATACTTCCAACAAAAACATTTATAAACATAAAATTTTAAAAAAATTTAAACAAAGATATATCTTGGCCAGCAAGATGGCTCAGTGAGTAACGGTGCTTGCCTGCCAAGCCTGGTGAACGGCATTTGATTCCTGGAACCCACATGGTGGAAGCAGAGCACTGAAAGCCGTCCTTTGACCAAGACACTGTGTACCCTGGCATGCCCACACAAAGGCACAAAGACACACGATGTAAATGTTTAGTAAATAAAACCAGTACTCTCCATACCCATTCACCTTCAGTGTCTTTCATGAAATGGGATAAACCACCAACATTAAAAGAAGCACCTGAATATTAATTTCCAAGATATTTTCTTTTCTTTTTTCTTTTTGGTTTATTGAGACAGGGTTTCTCTAAAGTTTTGAGGGCCTGTCCTGGAACTAGCTCTTGTAGCCCAGGCTGGTCTCGAACTCAGAGATCTGCCTGCCTCTGCCTCCTGAGTGCTGGGATTAAAGGCGTGCACCGCCACCACCACCACCACCCATAAGATATTTTCATTAATACTGGTTCCCCCTCCTACTATGGCAGGAAGTAAAGGGAAATACACACTGATGGCAGCTTTGAATCTTAAATGTCTATTGTCCATGGTAGGAGGAGACAAAAAGCAGGGTAACTTTTTGTTTTGTGATGTGTTAGCCTAAATGTTTGTTTTGTGAGGCAAGGTGTCGAGGCTATCCTGCAACTGCCCCTAGTGCTGGGACTATCGATAGGCATGCAACACCACTCCTAGAAATGGAGTGACAAGAGCTATGTGTTGTGTGGCACATGCTTTCATCCCAGCATTTGAGAGGCAGAGGCAGGTAGAGCTCTAAATTCAAGGCCAGGTTGGTCTACAGAGTGAGTTCCATAACAGCCAGAGCTACACAGAGACCCTGCCCAGAAAGAAAGAGAGACAGACAAAGACACAGAGAGAAAGAGAGAAGGGGCAAGAACAAGGCAACAGGGCAGGGGTCAAGCAGGAAGATGTGCTAGACAAAGCACCCAGTAAGGGCTTTGAAAAACACTTGGCAGCCGGGCGATGGTGGCGCACGCCTTTAATCCCAGCACTCAGGAGGCAGAAGCAGGCGGATCTCTGTGAGTTCGAGACCAGCCTGGTCTACAGAGCTAGTTCCAGGACAGGCTCCAAAGCCACAGCGAAACCCTGTCTCAAAAAACAAAACAAAACAAAACACTTGGCAGGAAAGTCCAGAGATTCACCAAAAAAACCCCAGCCATGCCGTAGATGAAGCCCCAGGCCCACCTGATAGTTACCACCTCAGGTGTGACCCCACTTTCTCCAGTGGGTGCTTTTAATAGACACTGTCACTGACGAGGGCCTGGGTCTTCCAGCAGCAGCAGCAAGCGGGACTGGAGAATTACTCTTGTATACATAGACCAAGTATTTGAAAATAAGTTTGTGCCCGCTTTCTCCTAGAAACTGTCTCAGATTAGCTGAACCTCATTCATACTCCAGGCTGAGACAGGTGCTTAATCCTCTGTCCTTAACCCCAGACCAACAGTCCATGGTTACATTCACCCCAACACAATGATTTGATGTAGTATCTTGCTAGGGGTCCCTTCACCTCTGTAACTTTGCCAGCCTGCCAAAACCTTGGAACTAAAGTCTTAAAAAGCTTCTCAATGCTTCAGATAAAACAAGGTTCCAGAAGAAACCAAAGACGTTGACACGCAGTAAAGTGCAGAAGAGGTCTGGGTCCTTGAGAACAGGGATTGTCTGCATGGTCAGTGTCTAGCACAAGACCTGCATCTTCATGGTTCTTACCAGGGGCTTCGGTGGCGCAGTCGGTTAGCGTGCAGTACTTATACATAGACTGGACTTATAAATGTTTATTTAATGAATGGCTAGAGAAAAGATAGCTACCATCAAGTCAGCCTGAGGAGTAATTTCATTGCAATAACTTGCATGTGTCTCACCCCATCGGAAATGATCTAGACCAGGACTGAGAGATCTCGTCCTCACAAGTACCACAGCAGCTAGCAATGACAGCAATTGGAAGACCAGGAAAACAGCCATGCTCATGTAACCCACCTGCCAGAAGGTTGAAAGTAAACAGGCTCTGTCCCAAGAGGACGTCTGACTTTGGAAGCACGGAGCTCACACAAACTTCTATGCTACAGTTGTGACAGCAAAGGGATGGACCTGAGTGAGACTGTCCCTAGTCTCCAAGGCTCCTCTGGGTCCTGAATGGGTTTTCTCATCTCTGAGAGAGAGAAATGACCTAGAGAGCACAACAGGAGTGAGATGTGGCTTTCTAGGTTCAAGTAATAGTTTTAGACTTAGCCTGGAACTTTAGGGCTGGCAAGATGCCTGGCTACCAAGTTCACTCCCCAGGTCCCCCACGGTGGAAGGAGAGAACTGGCTTCTGTAGATTGCTCTCTGACCTCCACAGACATCATAGCAAGCTCTCCACTACACACACACTCTCTCGGATAAATAAGTGTAATAAAAATTCTTATGTATTAACAGAAAACCTAAGGAAGCCAGAAATAAATTCCAGTTTCTTCACTAAAAATGGATAAAGGACCAAAATCTTGTTCAAAACGGATTTTTTTGAGACAGCATTTTGTGTATCCCTGGTTAGTCTTGAACTTGCTACAGGGCCGAGAATAACCTTGAATTTCTGAGCCTCCTGTCTCTACTTCCCAAGGATCAAAGGCATGTGCCACCATGCCTACTTAATTCGTGGTGGAGACTGAAGCCAGAGTTGCATGTGTGCCAGGTAAGCACTTGACACACTGAGCTCCGTCCCCAGCTCAGTTAAATATTCTGAGAAGTCCAGTATAAAGCTAAAATGCATCTGAATGGAGTTCAGAAATCCCACTCTTAGGGTCTTTCAGAGAGACCTGAGGGGTTTCTGGCTATCTATGGCCATCGAAGAGTTGGGAGGACACAGTTCTTAGTTGCTTTACAGTTTCCAAAACCTGCAGATAGGAAGACAGGTTTAGGCAGGCATTCTTTTTTTAAATAGAAACTAAGGTCGAAATTTTACTTTTAATAATACTACTACTAATAATAAATGCTCCAACTCCTAAACTGTGTGCTTTTCCAGCCTATTAAAGTCATCTGTAGAGTGTCTATACTTTCCCTAGTACAGTGAACAATATAATTAATTAAGAAATCAGAAACGGGTAATTAAAGAAATCAAACTGTTCCCTCTTCCCAAACATTGAAGAGGGTCAAAGTGAAGGGACTGCAGCATGGAAGGCGACCCAGGTCTAAACGTACAAACAGCATTTAGGAAAAAGCCCCCGCCCCCAAACATTACTGTCACAGACAACATTTCTTTCCCAGGGAGTTCGGCTCACTCAGGAGACGTCTAGTCCATGCCTCAGGAAAGGCTGGAGGTGTTTCCAGTCTTCCCTGCCAAGCCTAAGTCTTTTTATGAGCTCGGTATCTCCCAGAAGCATCTGTGGCATAAACAGAAGTGACTCTCAAAAGCAATGAAGGCAGGCAGGCACCTGTCACTGCTCTCGACATCAGCCAAAAAGCTGCAGAGCGTGGGATCCAGGAGACTGCAGGATGAAGAGAAGGGGAAGCACCAAGTGAGGACTGCTTTTGGTTCCAAAGCCAAAACAGGTATACACACAGCACACCACACACACACCACAACACACCACACCACACACACTTGCATGCAGGGCTCCCAAAAATAGCAGCTGGTCTGCATGAGGAACTCTTCCATTCCTGGAGTCAAGAAACAAAAATGATGGCCTTGGAGCCCCATCTCATGACAGCCACAGTCCAAGATCTAGAGCAGTTTATGCCACATCACAGTCTGCAAGGAATGGACTAAAAATCCTTGGTGAAGAGGATGAGGGATTTGACAAGACTGGGGGCAAGGTGAGCTATCCCAAAAGCACAGCTGTGACCATCGCTTGTTTGCTGCGTATCACTGGCCTCTTCTCAAAATGGTACCCAACCCTCAAAGAGCTCGAGGGGGCATCAGATGCACCTCTGGAAGATCACGCCTTGCCCCCTCCTTGCCAAAGAACTTCCCCATTTAAGCTGCTGATGGCATGCTACTTCCCACTCTAAGCAGAGTTCAACTTCCTTTTGTTTGAGAGTTTTGCACTGGCCTCTGAGGCCATATCCAGGATACGCGAGAGCTGGCCGTCTTCCAGTGTCAGGTCTGTGCTCCAGAGTTTGGTCAATACATCTTTACAAGAGTGAACCCATGCATGTGTACACAGATAGACTATTCTGGAAAGGGTTCCTGGTTATTTTGACACCTTCCCTAAAAGCAATACCTTCCTTGGGGTAAGATGATTAGGACACCGGATGACGGATGACCTGTTCCTAACTTCAGGAAAGGTAGCTTGTTCTGTCCATTTGTCAGTGAGGGGGTAGGAGGAACCCAACATTGTCAGTTACAACAAGATTTTTGTAGTTTGTTTTTTTTTTTTTAAAAAAAAAAAGGTTCTATGTGGAAATGAATGGGACAATGATAAAAATAAACATAATTAAAATTCCAAACCAAAACATAGCTCTTGGCCCCATCCCCAATTAGTCCTCCAAGACCACAATCTCCACATTGTGGACTTGATGCTGGTGTTCTTCCATCTCAGCCACCACTTTCTCCTCAGTCCTCAGCTCTGTCTCCAAGATGACTGCTTTGCCCTCATTGTCTTCAGCCTCAGGATCTGGGGCTGGGTCAATTTCAATGATGGTCTGCCCATCCTCCGAGGAGCTTTCAACTGCCTGGATTGCTGAAGTCAGGCCAGACTCCATGGCCACCAGCTCCACAGGGCTCACCATCGTGGCCATATTGCCTAGGGTACTGCCATCCTGCATAGTGGCAGAGCTTAGCAGGGCCAAGCTCGACGAAGGGTGGATGGTCACTGTGTCTGGTGAGCTGTTCTTGGCAGAGGAAACCACCGTGGCATAGCGGAAGAGCTGCGGGCCAGAAGGCAGCGTGTGGACAGTCACAGGACTGGAGGCCTGGCTGAGAGTAGCCACTGGAATATTGCCCATGGAGAAGGACTGCCCCACGGGGGTAATGGTGATAGGTGAGATAACAGTAAACTGAGGCTGCTGCACAGGAGAAGGGCTCAGGACAGTGGTGGAGGCTGGCCGCTGGAGCCGGGGTCTCTTTGGAGGCTTTGGGGTGCTCACAGGCATTAGTACCACATTCTGAACCGTCTGAGATTTCAGTCTAGGATCTTGGGCTTGCTTTTTTTGCTCTTCCAACTGCCGTTCCAAGTCTATGAGGGGAAAAAAACAAAACAACATCCAAACAGCTAGACTTAGCGAGGGAAAAAATGTCATCTAGGGAACATTAACCAGGGGGTCGGGAGACACAGGATCCTGTCACGGCTTTACACTGTGTGGCCTCAGGCAAGTCACACCAAAGTTTCTCAAATAACTTATGGAGATGATTTTTTTAAACCTTTTAGTAACTGCACTTAATGGTGTGATCATGAGCGGGGCAACAGTTCCGAGTCTATCAAAACTGTGCTCTTACTTACTCAACCCCACATACTCCTCCGCATTTTTTCATCTCTCAACAAAATACAAATCAAAGAAGCCTCCCATGGTCTTTCCCCCTTTCACAAGCAGGTGATTTACACGCAGGGCAGGAGCATATTAAGGACATGCTTTAGCACTGAGCCACACCCCCCAATATACACAGATACAAATATATATTTTTAATTAAATTTATATTTTTAATTATTTGTCTTATGGTGCACGTGTGTGTGTGTACATGTAAAAGTACACACCCTGGCCTCTGTAGAGGCCACAGAAGGTGTCACATATGCCAGAGCTGGAGTTACAGGTGGTTGTGAGATGCAGGTGTTGGGAACAGAACTCGGGCTCTCTGGAAGGACGTATACTCTTAAAGTAATGCTGAGCTGTTTTTCTAGCCACACCTACATCTATTTTAAATTGTACACAATTATGAGGCATAGTATAACATTTTTGTTTTACCTTTTGTGGTTTGCTCATGTGTGTAAGTGTACATGTATGAGCACGTATATGTAGATGCATGTGCAGACAGGAGGACTAAGTGTTTATCTCCTTTAAGACACAGTATCTCACTGGCCTGCAACTTAGCAATTAAGCTAGATTGGCTGGCTCACCGGCTAACTTTATCAATCACATCTATCATTTAAGAACATTTAAACCAGTGGTTGGAGAGATGACTCAGAGGTTGAGTATTGGCTGTTCTTCCAGAGTTCAATTCCCAGCAACCACATGATGGCTTACAGCCATCTACAATGGGATCTGATGCCCTCTTCTGGCATAGAGCATCATATACATAACCCGGACTACAGAGCAAGTCCTCATGTGTATAGAGCCAATATTTTACCTACTCAGTCAGCCATCTCCCCAGTCATAATTTATGATTATGACAATGGAAAATGTACAAAATCCATAGTTAGCAAAAACAGCCACATTGATAATGTAATAAAAAGGAAAGCTGATTCGTGTCTCCTGCCACCAACATTCCTAGATTATCAGAATAATCTAGTGACACATCAACCCTCCAAAGAAGAGAGGTGAGTCCACGTACCTGCCAGGGTATAGAGGAACTGCCCCTCACTCTGCTCCACTTGCTTCCGTCTGTTGTCCAAAACTCTCTTGACTGTGTCCATCAGGCCAAACGTATGTGCCACATTGTTCAAAACAGCAGCATCTATTGGAAACAAAGCACAGGCCTGTAGAGTCCAAACAGTCCCTGCCCTGCTGTGCTAGTTACAGACCTGAAAGAACCAGGAGCCCAGAGTGGAGCTACAAGCTTGGGAGATGGAGGCAGTACAATTGGAAGTTCAAGGCCAGCTTAAGCTACAGAGTGAGCTCTAGGCCATGCTGACCTATAAATCACACCTCCCCTCACTCCAAACAAGAAAAAAATGAAGAGACTATGGAATTCTCTTAAACACAGTTCAATAATTGCTGTGGTGGTGCTGGTTTTGAGAAAGGATCTTGTTGCCAGGCTGCTCTCAAACTGGCCAAGGATAGCCTTGAATCCTACACTCAGTCTTTAGTTCTGGGCTAACAAGTACTCATCGCCCTACCTGGCAATTTTAATATTTGTTGGTTTGTTTTTTGAAACAGGGTTTCTCTCTGTAACCACTTTGGCTATCCTGGAACTTGTTCTGTAGATCAGGCTGGCCTTGAACTCGTAGAGATCCTCCTGCCTCTGCCTCCCAGTGCTGGGATTAAAGGCGTATACCACTGCTTCGCTAGCAAGCTTTTTAACCCAGATTTACCACATCTATTCAATATGATTTTGTAATATATTTGAAGATCTTCCTACAAGTGGTAGGGTGCTTGCTTAGCATGCTGGTCCAATCCCTACCATTACAAAGACAAAAAGCAAAAATACATAAAAAGGTGAAATAAATAAATCTCTTTTTTCCTCCCCTGAGACAGTGTTTCTCTGTGTAACAAACAGCCCTGGTTGTCCTGGAACTCATTTTGTAGTCCAGGCTGGCCTCAAACTCACTGAGATCTGCCTGCCTCTGCCTCCCAAGTGCTGGGATTACAAAACATGCGCCACTATCACCTGGGAAAATCCTTCTTTCTTTAAAAAAGATCTATTTATGAGCAAGGAACTCAGGACCACGAGGGGTGCACCCACACACTGAGACAATGGGGATGTTCTATCGGGAACTCACCAAGGCCAGCTGGCCTAGGTCTAAAAAAGCATGGGATAAATCCGGACTAGCTGAACATAGCGGACAATGAGGAATAATGAGAGCTCAAGAACAATCGCAGTGGGGTTCTTGGTCCTACTGCACGTACTGGCTTTGTGGGAGCCTAGGCAGTTTGGATGCTCACCTTACGAGACCTGGATAGAGGTGGGCAGTCCTTGGGCTTCCCACAGGTCAGGGAACCCTGATTGCTCTTTGAGCAGATGAGGGAGGGGGACTTGACTGGGGGAGGGGGAGGGAAATGGGAAGCGGGTGCGGGGAGGAGACAGAAATCCTAAATAAATAAATAAATAAATAAATAAGAAAAAAAAAAGAAAGATACTTTTATAGGAGGCAGAGGCAGGTGGATCTTTATGAGTTCCAGGCAAGCCAAGGTGAAGACCTAAAGAAATTTCTTCTAATTGCATTCATGTCTGTGTGCGGGTGATGGTAGAATGGGTATAAAAAATATAAAGTCAACCTCAAAGTCTGTCAATAAAGGAGTGGATGAAATGAGCTATGCTAATTCTAAAAAAAAAAAAAAGATCTATTTATTATGTATACAACATTCTGCCTCCATATATGTGTGCAGGCCAGAAGAGGACACCAGATCTTATTATAGATGGCTGTGTGCCACCATGTAGTTGCTGGGAATTGAACTTCGGACCCCTGGAAGAAGCCAATGCTCTTAACCTCTGAACCATCTTTGCAGCCCAAAATAAATAAATAAATAAAAAATACAGGCATAGTGGTGGATGCTTTTAATCTCAGCACTTGAAAGGCAGAGGCAGACAGATCTCTGTGAGTTTGAGGCCAGCAGGTCAACACAGCAAGTTCTAGGACAGCCAAAGTTAAATAGTAAAACCCCATCTCAAAACTAACAAACAAAAAAAGAACAAAGACTAAACCTTGCATTTAGTTATAAATTCTGACCCATAGTTTGGAAACAGGATTGTAAAAGCTGGATGTGGTGGCGGAAAACTCTAGCTGTATCTATTCTGGAGGCTGAAGCAGGATAATTTGAACCTAGGAGCTCAAGATCAGCCCGGGCAATAAGATGAGACTACATTTCCAAATACACGACAGGCCAGGTGTGATGGCTCACCTGTAATCCTAGCATTTGGTGAGGCTGAGGTGAGATCACTGCCTTGAACTGAAGGCCAACCTGGGTTATAGATTAAGAAAACCACTAAATGGCTGGGTGTGGTGGCACTTACCTTTTCCAGAACTCAGGAGGGAGAAACAACAGTGAGGCTAGCCAGGACAGTCAAGGCTGTGCAGGGAGACCCTATCTCAAACAACAACAACAACAAACACACCACACCCGTACTTATCTGCACCTGCAATCTCACCCACTGCAACAGTTACTCTGGGGTTTCCTAGAATTCTTTTTTTGTTTGTTTTTCAAGACAGGATTCTTGAAACTAAATTTGTAGACAAGGCTGGCCCCAAACTTACAGAGATCCGCCTGTCTCTGTATTCAAAGTACTGGGAATAAAGGTGTGTGCCACCCAGTCTGGTCTACAGAGCTAGTTCCAGGACAGGCTCCAAAGTTATGGAGAAACACCCTGTCTCAAAAAAAAAAAAAAGTGCATGCCACCACCCAGCTTCCATAGTTTTTTTTTTGTTTGTTTGTTTGTTTTTGGTTTTGGTTTTTTGAGACAGGGTTTCTCTGTGGTTTTGGAGCCTGTCCTGGAACTAGCTCTTGTAGACCAGGCTGGCCTCGAACTCACAGAGATCCGCCTGCCTCTGCCTCCCGAGTGCTGGGATTAAAGGCGTGCACCACCACCGCCCGGCTTCCATAGTTTTTTGTACTCACCAGATACCATCTCTCGAAGATCTTTGCTCTTTCTGCCTGCTTCTTTCTCCTGGCTCATTATATCTAACTTCCAAAACGCAGGTTTGTGTTCTAAGCTCACCGCCCGGCATCAAAGGCCTTTCTTTCTACTATGAAAACAAGCACCCCAGCTTTCTGTATCATCTGCTTGGGTTTCATTCCAAGCACAGATTAATTTACACTAAAGTCGGTGTTTATTCTGATAGAACACTTCCTTGACACATGCAAAGCCCTTTGTTTCCTCTCCAGGGCAGAAACAATAAATGAGCCAATGAGATGGCTCACAGGTAAAGGGCTTGCTGCCAACCCCGGGGATCTGAGCTTGACTCTGGGGACCCAAACGACAGAATAAAAAAATTGCAAGTTGTCCTCTGGCCTCCACATATGAACTATAGCATGGATTGCATTACCCCCTCCACGCACGCACAATAAATAAATAAATAAATGTAAGCAAAGCTGAATTTTGTGGTTCAGGCCTCTAGACACAGCACTAAGCACGGGGAGGCAGGAGAAATTCAAGGCCAACCTTGGCTACGTAAAGTTTGAAGATAGCTTGGGATACTTGGGACCCTATCACAAAAAAACAAACAAAAAAAACAACAAAAAAAAAACATACTGAAGCTGGGTATGGTGCTTTATAACTTTAATCCCAGCATTTAGGAGGCAGAAGCAGGCAGATCTCTGTGAATTCCAGGACAGCCAAAGCTGTTACATAGAGAAACCCTGTCTCAAAAAAAAAAAAAAAAAAAAAAAAACCAAACCAAACAAACAAACAAACCTTAAAAAAAAAAAAGTTAACGACTAACAAGTTTAAGAATTCAGTGAAGCTAAGCACTGTGGTGCACGCCTTTAATCCCAGCACTCAGGAGGCAGAGGTCAGCCTGGTCTACAAGAGCTAGTTCCAGGACAGGCTTCAAGGCTACAGAGAAACCCTCTCAAAAAACAAAAACAAAGGGCTGGAGAGATGGCTCAGAGGTTAAGAGCATTGCCTGCTCTGCCAAAGGTCCTGAGTTCAATTCCCAGCAACCACATGGTGGCTCACAACCATCTGTAATGAGGTCTGGTGCCCTCTTCTGGCCTGCAGGCACACACAGACAGAATATTGTATACATAATAAATAAAAATAAATAAATAAAAACAAAAAACAAAACAAAAACAAAAAAAAAAGAACTCAGTGAACAGGGCTGGAGAGATGGCTCAGAGGTTAAGAGCACGGGCTGCTCTTCCAGAGGTCCTTAGATCAATTCCCAGCAATCACATGGTGAGATGCAACCATCTATAATGAGATCTGGTGCCCTCTTCTGCTGTGCAGGCATATATGCAGGCAGAACTGTATACGTAATAAATAAATAAATCTTTAAAAAAACAGGCGGATCTCTGTGAGTTCGAGGCCAGCATGATCTATAGAGTGAGTTCCAGGATAAGCTCCAAAGCTACAGAGAAACCCTGTCTCGAGAAAATCAAAACAAACAACAACAACAAAAAGAATTCAGTGAACATACAAACTGTGAGGCCTCATCATAACCCTATTTGTATGAAAAAGATACCCAGTCCACAATTGATGATTTCTTGAATGAAGGTTGATGTGAGAGTTTCCAGCTCACTGTGGGCAGTGTCACCTCTGGGCTGGTGGTCCCGGGTGCTATAAAAAGGTAAGCTGAGGGGACTAGAGAGGTGGCTTAGTGGTAAAGAGCACTGGCTGCTCTTCCAGAGGACCTGCGTTCAATTCCCAGCAACCACAAGGTGGCTCACAGCCATCTAATGAGATCTGGCGCCCTCTTCTGGCCTGTAGGCAGACATGCAGGCAGAACACTATACATAATAAATGAATAAATCTTTAAAAGAAAAGACCTGGAAACATACAATAAAGACAACCCTTCCCTGACACATACCCAAGCTGCTTTTGTTATGTTGTTTTACCACAGTAATAGAAACTTTAAAACAACATAACTGAAAAATAAAAATAAAATCTTTAAAACAATAAGATATTGCTGTGGGATAATGCTCTGATACACTATAAAGATTTGCCCCTCATATTGGTTTAATGAAACGCTGATTGGCCAGTAGCCAGGCAGGAAGTATAGGTGGGGCAACCAGACTAGGAGAATTTTGGAAAGAAGAAAGGCAGACACAGAGGAAGAGAGATGAGAAAGACAGCCAGCAGTGGTGGTGCACACCTTTAATCCCATTTAATCCCAGCACTCAGGCGGCAGAGCAGGCGGATCTCTGTGAGTTCGATGCCAACCTGGTCTACAAGAGCTAGTTTCAAGAGAGGCTCCAAATGTACAGAGAAACCCTGACTCGAAAAACAAAAAACAAAACACAAAAAAAAAAACAGGAAAGAACAAGAAAAAAGGATGCCTCAATGAGAAAAAGTACAAAGCGAAGTAGCTAAACATACCAAACCAAAGTTTAAAACCCAGTTAATTTAATGCCAGGTAGTGGTGGTGCACACCTTTAATCCCAGCATGTGGGAGGCAGAAGCAGGTGAATCTCTGTGAGTTTGAAGCCAGCCTGATCTACAAAGTGAGTTCCAGAACAGCCAGGACTGTTTCACAGAGAAACCCTGTCTCGAAAAATCAATCAACCAACCAACCAACAAATAAATAAATGAACAAATGAATGAACAAATAAAATCCATCAATGATAAAGTAAAAGAAGGCTGGGGTTCTACCTCAGTAGAAGAGTGCTTGCCTAGTATGCTGGGGCCAACTTAAATCTCTAGGACCACATAAATGAACAAAACACAGTCATGAACCATGAAAAACAATTACTTAATTTTTACAATCTTTACTTTCTTATCTGTAAATGAAGAGAATGGTACCTCTGCCTCAGAGTTGTGGGGCGAACAGGAACCTGAGCACAGTTGTGAATGCTCAAAGAAAGGAAGGCTAGTACCAGGCTCAGTGCACTTACCCGTGACCTGGAAGGGAGCCTGCAGGAGCCGCTGCTGAACGCCCCTGAGAAGTTCTTCTATCTCCTTCTGAATATTACAGACGACCTCCTCCATCAACCCTACATCAGCTATTCCTTTCCAGAACATCAAAGTGTCCTCTGGCACAGAAGGGATAAGACAAAAGGTAGATATTACCAGATACCTCAGCACGTCTATAATGCTAATTTCAATTTGAAAGGATTTTATGCTAAAACATGAAAGACTAGCTGTGTCCATGAGTTGGTACCTAATTATTAGCCCCTTCAGATACTAGGGGCTTGGGATAATTGCTTCAATTTGTCATGCCCTTGACTTGTTATGATTCTGGCTATAAAAACAGACATCTTAGTTCAATAAAAATATCCAGTTAAATATTAAATAGACATTTAATAATTAAGACTAAGTATTACTTGATTAAATTCAATTTTAATTTTGTTTTCAATTAGATAGGATTTAATTTTATAAATGTTAACTAATAAAGATAGTAAGCTAAATATTAATTAAATATAGTCTCTCTAGTTCTACACTAAACCAAACAGCTGGGTGGGAAGGCCTGTAAGTATCTCTAGGGTGATGGCTAAGTCTCTTCATGTATGTACACAGCAAATAGCAATAGAATCAAATAGGCAACAAATATTTATTAAATGAATGATCAAAAGGAGAAAGTGGGGCACGGGAGAGATGGCTCAGTGGCTAAGAGCACTGGCTGCTCTTCCAAAGAACCTGGGCTCAATTCCCAGCACCCACATGGCAGCTCACAGCTGTCTGGATGATTGCTCGGGTTAAAAGGAGCCGATTCCAGCTCTAGTTAGTACTCATGTTTATGAAGACTTCTGCTCTGTGCATAAACAAGGTCATAAACCTATAGGAGGACACAAGCTACACGAGGAACACATGAGCTACACAGGAAAGTACCTGAAATTTCTTCAGAGTCTTTTTTTACGCCCTCATCCGTGGCCATGGTGACAGCAGCAGTGAGAGCTGAGTTCCACTCCAGCCCAGCCTCTTCCATGCTCTCCTCTGAGATGGCAATCTGTGTGATGTTACCTAGCAGAGTCCATTAGAAAGAAAGACAGTCAGTTTTATGAAGAAATTCATAGTTATCCTCTCTCATACTTACAGCAGAAAGACCTTGTGATTCTAACATGATGCCTCTTCCCTATGTGTCCATAGTTTAAAATACAGATCTCTAGGTAAGCCAGGATGGACACTGAATTTTCTAAAGGAAACTTGCCTTGCTAAGGAAAAAGCTTTAAAAAAAAAAAAATTGCCAGGCAGTGGTGGTGCATGCCTTTAATCCCAGCACTTCAGAGGCAGAGGCAGGCGGATCTCTGTGAGTTCGAGGCCAGCCTGGTCTACAAGAGCTAATTCCAGGACAGACCCCAAAGCTACAGAGAAACCCTGTCTCAAAAATCCAATAAACAAAAAACTTCCAAGGGCAGTCTGCTTCCCAGTCAGATGTTTTTGAAAGTGACTGGGGGTAGGTGTGCCTGCCAGACCACCAGCTCCAGACTTACTGAGGATGGGAAAGACCTAGAATCATTTAAAAGAAGTGCATTTGTCATGAGCCCTACTATAGATGTGCTTGGTAGTAAGCATCTAGAATACCTGAAGCTGTTACAGCTAATGAATCAACCTGGGATGAGAAAGCAAGAGAAACAGAGATACACACACACACACACACACACACACACACAAATCTGATAGGAGACACATGAATAAATAGAACAGACATGGAACTGGAAAGACAGCTCAGTGGTTAAGAGCACATGTTGCTCTTCTAGGACCAGTGTTCAGTTCCCGCGACCCATGTCAGGCAGGTTACAACTGTCTATAACTGGCTTCCAAGGGTACCCACAAACATACACATGTGCCCACACAGACATAGAGACAGACACATATGCATACACAAGCACATACATAGCCACACAGATTCACACACAATTCAAAATCTTAAAACACACTTTACCTTTCAACTGTCTCTAAAAAGCTGAACAAAAACTGTGAGAAAAATCCAAGTGGCTCAGACATGTGTGAGCTCTATATACCGGAAGAGAGCTATAACCAAATAAATAGGACAACATGGACAACCAAGCAAAGTTTTGACAAATAAAAAGAAAAGAAATCATTTTGGAATATTCTTCATTTTCTAAGTAAAAGAATCAAATACATGAAAATTCTTTGCCAGACACTTTCCTGAAAGGGCCTTTAGGCTCCAAGAGATGTGGTTTGTAACTCACCTACTGATTACTCTCAGAATATGAGAGTTCACCAAAAACCAAACCAAAACCAACCCCACAAAGCCATGTGAGGTGGGTGAGGACTATATATAATTCCAACATTTGGGAGGCTAAGGCAGAAAGGTCGTGAGTTGGAGGCCAGCCTGGGTGCCCTCATCCCAAAGATTTCTAACAGCAGCTGAAACGCCTTTTATGCCACTGTGATGTCTCCAGAAGCTGTGATTAATCCATCATAATTCATATTCTCCCTCTCTCCCTCTCACCTAGATGATAAGAGGGTACCCCAAAACAAAATTCAAAAGCACCAAAGGTCAGCTGAACAGGCCTGAAACCCAGGACTCTCGGGAGCAGATTCGGGGGCATCCTAGGCCAGCCTGGACTACACAATCAGACTACATATCAAAACAAACAAAATCAAAGCAAAACAAGAGCAATAACAGAAAACAGCGTAGGCCCTATGTTTGAGCTGGTCAACACAGCAAATTCCAGGCCAGCCTGGGCTCTCTAGGAAGACTCTGAGGGCCTGTGCACCCACCTTAACATCTGCAAGAAAGTCTAGGTTGGTAAACTGGGGCTCACTCAGGTGAACTTCCTAATTCAGGCTCAGCCCAGCCACTGAGGTCCAGCCTCACAACATTTGAAGCTGTTAGCCACTCTGATGTACCTCTCTAATCTTATCTGCCGCCACTCAACCTGGCACGCCTGGAAAGTGAGAGTACTGAGTAAGCCCTGTGAGCACAGGACGTCTTTTTAATACTTGGTACAAGAAATAAGAATGTGCCAGGCGGTGGTGGTGCACATCTTTAATCCCAGCATTTGGGAGGCAGAGGCAGACAGAACTCAGTGAGTTCGAGGCCAGCCTGGTCTACCAAGTGAGTTCCAGGACAGCCAGGGATGTTACAAAGAGAAACCCTGTCTTGAAAAAACAAAAAAAGAAATAAGAATGCTGGAAATAAGGCAGGTGGTAGTGGCTCATGCCTTTAATCCCAACACTAAGGAGGCAGAGGCAGGTGGATCTCTGAGTTTGATGCCAGTCTGGTCTACAAAGCAAGTTCCAGGACAGCCAGGATGACACAGAGAAACCCTATCTCAAAAACAAAAACAAGAACAAACAAACAAACAAACAAAGATTGCTGGAAATAGAAGGTAGAGACAGAAGCACAGACAGTACTAATGATGATGATAATGAAAAAAGAAAAGAAAAAACATGATAAGAGTTGGCCAATAAGAATCAGTTAAAAGGGGCTAGAGAAATGGCAGTTAAGAGCACTGGCTGCTCTTTCAAAGGTCCTAAATTCAATTCCCAGCACTCATATGGTGGCTTACAACCATCCCTTTGAAATCTGGTGCCCTCTTCTGGCCTGCAGGCATACAAACAAGCAGGCAGAACTCTACACAAGGAAGGGAGGGGAGGGGAGAAAGAATCAATTAAAATAGATAGGCATGCTGGGCATAGTAGCACCTGCCTTTAATCCTAACACTCAGGAAGCAGAAACAAAAGGATCATTGGGACACAGAGAAACAATGTCTTGAAAAACACCCCCCAATAGAAAAAGAGAGAGAAACCAGGATGGGTGATTTCAAGCCTGTGTCCCAGGATTCTAGAACAGAGAATAGCCATGAATATAAGACAGCCTGGGGGGGCTGGAGAGATGGCTCAGTGGTTAAGAGCATTGCCTGCTCTTCCAAAGGTCGTGAGTTCAATTCCTAGCAACCACATGGTGGCTCACAACCATCTGTAATGAGGTCTGGTGCCCTCTTCTGGCCTGCAGGCATACACACAGATAGAGTACTGTATACATAATAAATAAATAAATATTTAAAAAAAAAATAAAAAAAATAAGTCAGCCTGGGCTACACAGTGAGTTGCTGACCAGCCTGGGTAACAGAAACCTAGTCTCAAACCAAACATGAGTTTTTTTAAGAGGAAAAAGGGAATCCAGGGCTTGGAGTCCAGCCAAATTCTGCAGTATCTTACAAGACAGCACAAAAGCACATCAATACTGACAAGAACGGGAAACCGGGGACACCAGGCATGGTGATTTATGTTTGTGATCCAAGCACTTGGGAGGCAGAAACAAGGAAATCACAGTAACTTCAAGTCCAGCCTGGGCTACATGGTAGGATGGTCTCAAAAGCAAACCAAACAACAAAAGCACAAGGGAGAAGCGATGAGAAGGAGAGAAGAGCTGGTAAACACAGTGGCAGCCCGGGCGGTTTCCTACCCCCTACCATCAGCCGAGGTGGGGGTCTGCACTACACTTGTCTGCTGGCCTGGCACTGGTGCCCTCGCACTGCTGATCAGAAGGTCAAACTTGGTACTCCTGCAGGTATTGGAGCAAACTTTGTCATGCTGGTAAAAATCGATCTGCCCGGAGTCCATCATTTTCCTGTAGAGAGACAAGACGCAGTTCAGCCCACATTTCACCTACGAGAACTATGAGAACTGAGTTTAGACGAGGACCATCTGCTGATTTCATGGTGGAAATTAGAGAAGCCCAATATCTGACGTCATAAAACTGAAAATTCTAATTGGAATTATCAAATGTTCATTGGTCCTTCCCACATTGACCACCACTTCCCTTCTGAGCTTCCTCGACAACAAGCCTTAGATTAACTAAGAATGTCAAGAAAGTCATTAAAACCCAAAGCTGAAAGTCCCAACACTTGGGAGGCAGAGACCCTGTGCATTCAAGATCAACCTGGTATACACAGCCAAGTTCCAGGTTATCCTGAGCTATATAGTGAAACCCTATAACAAAAATAAAACAACCACAAGCCCAGCAGTGGTGGTGCATGGCTTTATTTCCAGTCCTTAGCAAGCAGAGGCTGGCAGATCTCTTGAGTTCGAGGCCAGCCTGGTCTACAAAGCAAGTTCCAGAATAGCCAAGGCTACACAGAGAAATCCCGTCTCAAATAAACAAAAAAAATAATAAAATAAAATTTACAAAATTAAGTCTCCTAGAAGTATTATACAACACTGATGATAGATAGGGCTAGAGAGATGGTTCAGTGGTTAAGTACACTGGTTGCTCTTCCAGAGGTCGTGAGTTCAATTCCCAGCAACCACATGGTGGCTCACAACCATCTGTAATGAGATCTGGCGCTCTCTTTTGGAGTGTGGGCACACATGGAGGCAGAATGTTGTATACACAACAAATAAATAAATTAAAAAAAAAAAAACAACACTGATGATAACAAATCCTTTCTGGAAAATGTTCTTGTAACAAGAGCAATGAGGCCCTACTATTACAGACCATAAGCAAAACCAGGAAGCATTTTAAATTTTAGTTCTAGTACAACTCTATGTTACCCTGTCACTTGGCTTTCACTAACAGATCTCTAGGCAGTCTCAGTTTGGTTTTTCGGGACAGGGTTTCTCTGTGGCTTTGGAGCCTGTCCTGGAACTAGCTCTTGTAGACCAGGCCGGTCTCGAACTCACAGAGATCCGCCTGCCTCTGACTCCCGAGTGCTGGGATTAAAAGCGTGCGCCACCATCACCCAGCTGCAGTCTCAGTCCTTTAAGCATTAGTGGGGAAACTGGCACATGCTCGAATTCCTGGGCAGATGAAACAAGAACAAAACGGAAAGGAAAGGTAATCCTCTCAAATCCTCACCTGTAACGAACCCAGGGGACCTGGGGTCTGCAGAGAATGTGTCGCCACCACAGAGAAACTGTCCCAATGGAAGCAGCCCCTTGTCTGTGTTTGGCTTCCATACAGGGTCTCTTTATAGAGACCAGATTGGTTATGTCATCCAGCTTGACCTTAAACTTGAGATCCTCCTGCCTCTGCCTCCCATGTGCTGAAATTAAAGGTGCCACCACACCTGGCTGGACATTTTTAATCTTGACCTTAAAATTTTTGTTTTTGGGGGCTGGAGAGGTGGCTCAGAGCTTACGAGCACTAGCTGCTCTTCCAGGGGAGCTGGGTTCAAATCCCAGTACCCACATGGCAGCTCACAATCGTCTGTGACACCCATGGCAAAACATCAATGCACACAAAATAAAAATAAATTAAAAAAAGGTTTTTGTGTTTTTGTTTTTATAATTCTATGTATATGGGTGCTTTGCCTGCATGTATGTCTGTGTACTGTGTGTACACCTGGTTTCCATGAAGGTTAGAAGAGGGTGTTGGATGCCCCTGGAACTAGAGTTACAGATGATTGAGAGCTGCCATGTGGGTGCTGGAAACTGAACCCAGAACTTCTAGTAGGGCAGCCAGAACTCATTTCTCCAGTTCTAGGTTTTTTTTTTTCCTAAAGATTTATTTATTATGTGTACAACTTTCTGCCTCCATGTATACCCACATGCCAGAGGAGGGCGCCAGATCTCATTACAGATGGTTTGGAGCCACCATGTGGTTGCTGGGAATTTAACTCAGGACCTCTGGAAGAGCAGACAGTGCTCTTAACCACTGAGCCATCTCTCCAGTCCTCCAGTTCTAGGTTTTACATTTAAATTTTTTCTATCAGTAGGTGAGCATTCAAGGCATACTAATTAATGTATTCAACATGGAAAACTACAATGGTAAACTTGTTGGAGCAAAAGTTAGGGTGGATGAGAGCTATTCCATATGCTGACATCTGTTTCTTAGACAGCGATGGCAAAGACAGCAAACATCATGCAGGGCTTCTACTTTAACAGGGTATCGCAGGATCCGTCGGTCATGGCTGTCACACTTACTCAACACCTAGCTTTGCTCTCTCTATGTAAGGATGACAGGGAAGACTATTAGCTCCTCGGAGCTCCTCTGCCAAGAAAGGATCCTGTCCAACCTCCTGACATCAGTACCCGAAGTCAGGCATGCTGGTGTCAGTCTTCGCTACACGGCAAGTTCTGGGCTAGAACTAAATGAGACTCAAAAACGAAAAAGAAAGAATGAAAAATCTAATGCAGACGCTGGGCTGAGGTTGAGTTAATAGTTAGAGGTCACGGTAACTCAGTGGTAGGGTGCTTACGTAGCATGCACAAGGCCCTGGATTCCATCCCTAGTGTCACAAAGTTAAAAACCAAAATATTAAGGACAAGTTGACGAAGGTCAAATGGTGTAGAAGATTCTTCCCTGACTAAGTGCATCATTGAGACGCACTTGGCTGTCACCAGCACTCACCTGAGCATGATGCCACCTAGACGAATGGCTCTCTTCCAGTCCTTCAGAGTGGACTTGCCAGCCAGATGGACAAAATGCTTGGGGCTGATCAATTGATCATTGAACTAAAGGAAAAAAGAAAAATCCAAAGTAGTCCAGTGTCAACTTAGATAGGTCAACAAGGAAAGAATGAAATGTCACTTGCTACAAACAAATCCCCCCCGGACAATTTCACAAGCCCTATCTGTGTCACTCAGCCTGCTGTCCCATGGAACCAAACATTATCCTTCTCGGAGTACCTCCCTTTTCCTAGGATAAAGCTACAGCGGATGAGGATGAGAAAGAACCGTGCTAAACAGTATCTACAAATCCACCTAGATTCTGAAGCAGGGGGCTGGGCCTAGTGCTCGAGAGGCTGGTCAAGTCACTGAAGAAATCAAAGTAGTGCTAAAGATGGGTGGGCCAGGGAGATGACTCGCCCGTAAAAGCACTATTTGTGCAAGACTACAGACTGACTTCCATCCCAAAAATCAATTAAAAACTGGAGGCTGTGAACTGCATCTGTAGTTCCAGCACTCTTACTGTGAGATGGAAATCAGAAGACTCCCCGGGAAGATGCAAGACTGATGGAATACTCAGTATAGCAGTAGAATCAAACACTCAAACACACACACACACACACGACCCTTTTGAAAGTTTATTTTTTTTTCTTTTTTTTTTAATATTTATTTATTTATTATGTATACAATAATCTGTCTGTGTGTATGTCTGCAGGCCAGAAGAGGACACCAGACCTCATTACAGATGGTTGTGAGCCACCATGTGGTTGCTGGAAATTGAACTCAGGACCTTTGGAAGAGCAGGCAGTGCTCTTAACCACTGAGCCATCTCTCCAGCCCTGAAGGTTTATTTTTATCTTATGTATATGGGTGTTTTGCCTGCATATGTGTCTGCATCACATATAAACAATGCCCACACAGGCTGGGCGGTGGTGGCACACGCCTTTAATCCCAGCATTTGGGAGGCAGAGGCAGGCAGATCTCTGTGAGTTTGAGGCCAGCCTGGTCTACAAGAGCTAGTTCCAGGACAGGCCCCAAAGCCAGAGAAACCCTGACCCAAAAAAACAAAAAATAAACAAACAAACAAAAGCAAAATTAAAGATGAAAACAACTGCAAAACAAAAAGCTGCGGATTGAAGCTGGAAGGACAGCTCAGAAACAGAGCGCTTGCCCCCATGTTCCAGACCCTACATCAGAGCCTTGCGTTTCCCTTTAGAAGCTCATCTGGTGAGAGAGAGACAAGGGACTGAGAGGAAACCTCCAGGCCGAGACAATTACCTTGACACACTTCACATTTATTCCTGGACACACAAACTTCTTCCAGAGGAGGATGGCTTTACTCTCTCCACAGGTTATAGGGTAGGCAATTTCCATATCCTCGTTTGCTTCTATGCTGCTTGCATCTGAAAATGGAAAAAGCAATCCACTATTTATTGATTTTTTGTTTCCTTTTTTTTTTTTTTGATTTTTCGAGACAGGGTTTCTCTGTAGCTTTGGTGCCTGTCCTGGAACTAGCTCTTGTAGACCAGGCTGGCCTCGAACTCCCAGAGATCCGCCTGCCTCTGCCTCCCGAGTGCTGGGATTAAAGGCGTGCGCCACCACCGCCCGGCTCCACTATTTATTGAACAATTCTTTCCTAAATTTAAATTCCAAACGTACAGTTTTCAGGTCCCTCTTAAGCCATATTTTTATTTATTTGTTTGTTTGTTTGTTTAGAATACGGTCTCACGTAGCTCAGGCTGGCCTTAAACTCAGTATACAGTAATGATGACCTCAGATTACTGATCCTTGCACTCTAACAACTGAGCTATATTCCCAATTTTAATAGATGAAAACTTTTTTTTTTTTGGTTAATGTAACATATTGATAGTAAGTGATCAAGTGACAGGTCTACCATTTTTTAATTGGTTGGTTATTTTTTTTTTTTTTTGAGACAGTCTTTCTATGTAGTGCTGGCTGTACAGGAGCCTGGAACTCAGAGATGGCTCGGCCTCTGCCTCTTGTGTGCTGGTATTAAAGGTGTGCGTCACCATGCCTGGCAAGTCGGCCATCTTAAACAACAGTGTCAGTAGGTACACTGCATTGGTAGGGACAGAAAATAAGGCACAAAAGGGCAGAAATCATAGGCTGGGAGCACAGCTCAGTAGTGGAGCATCAGCCTTGCCTGGACAAGGTTCCAAGTTCCATTCCCAGAACATACAGAAACTCTCAACCAGCATGCTGAAGTCGAAGGCACTGGACAGAATGGCAGAAAGACTTACCAATTCCTTCTTCAATTTTGTGTATCGTGTGTGCTTCTACAGCTACAACTGCTGCGTTGCTCTCCGACCCAGCATCATAAATCCTGTTGTAAAAGTGTCCATCGGTAAACAAACTACATAAATCATGAAAAAATTAATATTCACAGCACGGAGTTAAGACATTTGTTTGCCATCTATCCCAAAAGGAGTAAAGTAAATGTATTCTATCACACCACCTTAGTACTATGACAAGTTTTCCACTGTACTTAAACTCCAAAAGGTCCAGAAATGCTTACTGCTAGAAAAATGAGACAATTCACCTCACCCCAAGTAAATTAATATTTGCTACTGCATTACACTGACTTTTTCCTTGATAATTTTTTTAGTACAAAACACTTTTAATAATTTATTTGTATTTTCTGTACATTGGTGTTTTGCTTGCATGTATGTTTATATAAGGGGGTTGGATTCCCTGTAACAGGAGTTACAGACAGTTGTGAGCTGGGAATTGAACCTGGGTCCTCTTAAAGAATGGTCAGTGCTCTTAACTCTAAGCCATCTCTCCAGCCCTTTCTTTTTTAATTTTTATTTTTTTTTTCTGTTTTCTTTTTTTTTCTGGTTTTTCGAGACAGGATTTTCTCTATGTATCTCTGGCTATCCTGGAACTCACTCTGTATACCAGGCTGGCCTCAAACTCATAGGAATCTGAAAAGTTTTTACACCCCGATAAAATTTCTCTGCCATCGCAATAACCCAAATCAGACCAAATCAAACCGAATTAGAAAAAGCCCAGGTTTAATGGCTACCAGTGCTCCCAGGGGGAGACCGGAAAACCACGTGTTCGGTCTCTGGGGGACAATTTAAATACCCTGTGGGAGTGGTCTTGAGCCTCTCTGGGGAGGAGTTACCGTTTGGCGGGATTATTCTGAGGTGGAGTCTGGACTGAGGCAACTCCCAGAGAAAGGGGCTTATAAAATGGAATTTTCCACCAAACAGTCCAAACTCCTTGGATACATGGATGGCTGGGGTGAAGCCCCAACCCAAACAAGATCCACCTGCCTCTGCTTCCCTGAGTGCTAGGATTAAAGGCATGTGCCACCACTCTCTGGCTTCTTTAATAACTTTAAAGATTTATGTTACTTTTGTGTATAAAGTCATATGATTGCTTGTATACACACACACACACACACACACTTGTGTGTAAGTGCGTGCGTGTGTGTGCCTAGAAGAACAGGATGGAGTGTCAGAGCCCATGGAGCTAGAGCTACAGGGAGTTGTGAGCTACCAGATGTGGGTATTGGGAACCAAACTTGGGTCCCATGGAAGAGCAACATGCTCTCTGTAACTGCTGAGTCAACTCTTCAGCCCCTTCCTCCATAACTTTAAATCACTGGTTCTCAACCTTCCTAATGCTGAGACTCTTTAATACAGTTCCTTGCTGGGTGGTGGTGGCACACACCTTTAATTCCGACACTTGGAAGGCAGAAGCAGGCAGATCTCAGTGAGTTCGAGGCCAGCCTGGTCTACAGAACTAGTTCTGGGACAGCCAGGACTGTTGTACAGAGAAACCCTGTCTTGAATAAACAAAACAATGGTGCTCAAACATACATGCCGTCCAAACATCCATATACATTAAAAAGCAAAGAATAACATCAACAAAATGAAAACAAAAATTATTCATTATGAATCCAAAATGGCAGCAGGAAAGTCAAGAATGGTGACAGAATCTTGGCATGTCCATTTCTTCTGAGAACTCTAAATATGTTATAATGGGTTGGTGGTGGCACACGCCTTTAATCCCAGCACTCAGGAGGCAGAGGCAGGCGGATGGGGACTTATTTGAAAAATTATTAAGCATTTAGCGATGGCTTTATTTTATTTGAGATGCTGGAGATGCAACTCAGGGCCTTATGCATACCAAAGAAATACTGAACCACTGGGTGACATTTCCAGAAGATTCTTGTAGTTACTGGGTCTTTTCACTGGACTTTTGTTTGTTTTGAGATTGTGCTTCATGTAGTTCAAGCTGGTCTCAAATTCGCTATATAAGTATAAAACTATCTAAACCAAAACAAAACAAACAAAAAAAGCCAGGCCGTGGGCTGGAGAGATGGCTCAGTGGTTAAGAGCATTGCCTGCTCTTCCAAAGGTCCTGAGTTCAAATCCTGGCAACCACATGGTGGCTTACAACCATCTGGAATGAGGTCTGGTGCCCTCTTCTGGCCTGCAGGCATACACAGAGACAGAATACTGTATACATAATAAATAAATAAATAAATATTAAAAAAAAAAGCCGGGCCGTGAGTTCCAGAACACCGTCTCTGTGCACACATGGGAAGACTGTTCCAATCTACCTTTACTGCCTAATGCATTCCTGCAAACATGTACATAAAGAATACCTGGAAAAGTAAAATATGAGTAAGTTTAGTGCTCCATGACTGAAATTCTAACACTTGGGAAGGTGACACAGGAGGATATGTAGTTTAAGGTCTGGGCTTCATGATGAGGTTAAGAAGACTGTGTTTTGGCCAGACAGTGGTGGTACATGTCTTTAATCCCAGAACTCAGGAGGCAGAGGCAGGTGGATCTCAAATTCAAGGCCAACCTGGTCTAGAGAGTGAGTTCCAAGACAGTGAGGGCTACACAGAGAAACCCTGTCTTAAAAAACAAACAAAAAGAACACTGCGTTCATCCAAAGCACCTACCCACATCCAGTGACTCACAACTTCCTTTAACTCCAGCTTCAGATCTGGCTCCCTCTTCTGGTCCCTGTGTGCACCTACACTCATGTGCACATTCCCTTGCAAAAATGCACTCAAAATTTTAAAAATTAACAAAAGATTAAACAAACAGAAAGTTGGAGGCAGTCTTGCATACCCTAATACCAGCATTGGAGAGGGAGAGGCAGAGGGCTGGGAACACAAGGCAAAACTGTGCAGCCCAGCAAGACTCTGTTTCAAAACAGACAAAAATGTATGAAGTATCAAATTCTCCTCCATGGCCTCTCCTGGCCCCACCCCCAGTTTTTAAACCAGCCTTGGTCCTCAGGCCAAAAGTCTCTTTTTCTTGGTCCAGGTACACCTCAGCTTTTCTTTGCTTGTTTTCGTGATTTTGTGTGTGTGTGTGTGTGTGTGTGTGTGTGTTTGGAGACATGGTTTCTCTGTATAACAGCCCTAGGTGTCCTGGAACTTAATCTGTAGACCAGTCTGGCCTCAAACTCACAGAGATCCTCCTGCCTCTGCCTCCCAAGTGCTGGGATTAAAGGCACGCACCAGCACCGCCCGGCACAAGTCAATCTTTTATTTATTTATTTATTTATTTATTTATTTATTTATTATGTATACAATATTCTGTGTGTATTCCTGAAGGCCAGAAGAGGGCGCCAGACCTCTTTACAGATGGTTGTGAGCCACCATGTGGTTGCTGGGAATTGAACTCAGGACCTCTGGAAGAGCAGGCAATGCTCTTAACCACTGAGCCATCTCTCCAGCCCAAGTCAATCTTTTTTAAAAGCCAAATAGTAGTGGTGTGCTGCTGGGAATTGAACTCAGGAACTCTGGAAGACCAGTTAGTGCTTTTAAACACTGAGCCAATTCTCTAGCCTCTTGTTTTGTTTTTAAAGACAGGATTTCTCTCCACAGCCCTGGCTATCCTGGAACTCACTCTGTAGACCAGGCTGTCCTGGAATCAGAGATCCACCTGCCTCTGCCTCCCAAGTGCTGAGAATAAAGGTGTAAAGGCACCACTGCCTGACCTAATTTTTTTATTTTATTTTGTATATATTTTAAAAAAGATTACCCTTTAAAGTCAGGAAGGGCAGCACATGAGAAGCACTGAGAAGGCTGAGGCAGAAGAACAGTTAAACTCAAGTCCAACCTGGGCTGTATAACAAGACCTTGTTGGTTTTTTTTTTTTGTTTTTGTTTTTTTTTTTTTTTGTTGTTGGTTTTTTTTTTTTCGAGACAGGGTTTCTCTGTGGTTTTGGAGCCTGTCCTGGAAGTAGCTCTTGTAGACCAGGCTGGTCTCGAACTCACAGAGATCCGCCTGCCTCTGCCTCCAAAGTGCTGGGATTAAAGGCGTGCTCCACCACCGCCAGGCACAAGACCTTGTTTTAAAAAGGAAAGAAAACCAGACGGACACACTTTTTCTCCCCCACCCAAAACAGAGTTTCTCTGTGTATCCCTGGCTGTCCTAAAACTCACTCTATAGACCAGGATGCCCTGGAACCCAAGAGATCCACCTGCCTCTGCCACCCAAGTGCTGGGATTAAAGACGTGCGACACCACTGACCTGTTTGAAAGAAAAACTTAAATTTTACCTTTTAGGGTTAGCCTATAGCATAGCTCGGTGGTAGATGACCTGTGCATGAGAGAGGCCCCAGGTTTGATTCTGGACATTGCGGAAGCATTTTAGTCAACGTTCCTGTCTAGCTGATCGTAACCTCGGAACTCACAGGCCACTCAACCCTGCCCGTCTTCACGATGTAAGGTTCCATACTTACATGCACTTTTGTTTTACATCTAGACCGCAAACTTCATGCTGGCGAGGACCTTGTGTTTTATTTCTTCTAACGCTGCTGTAACGCATCATCACGGTGGTGGAGGGCAGAAACTTGGGACAGACTAAGCCTGAGCATTGGCCGATCCATGCAAGTTTTAGAGTTTATGGTAGAAATGATTTTGGAGGTGCCTTGTTTTGTCTCTCAGTCAACACTGCATTTGAGAAATATGCACATGGGCCCTGGGCTAAACAATGTGGACAGAGAAGATGAGGGAGCCATGGAACTCACCCCCAGAGAGCTCACACTGTAAAGACAGAGGGACACTAGGAAACCGCTGCTGTAGTAAGTAGTGAATGTCAACATGGCTGTGCACATCTGTAATCCTGGTAATTGGGAAGAAAAGGCAGGAAGATCAGGTATTCAAGGCTACCCTTGCAACATAGGAAGTTTGAGGCAAGCCTGGGCTACATGAGACTGTCTCAAAAATTACAAAAATAAAAATAAATAAATAAAACAAAAAACCCTAAGAAGGTGGAGGGATCTTATCACCAGCTCTGACTGATGAGTGTTCACGGCGTCCTAAAACCCTGCACAGTTCTTATTTCCCATATTTACTCTCCCAATAATACATTTTCAGAACGTCCAAATCTCTCCTCACTTACCCTTGCTGCACAGGCTGTAACTGCAAGATCACTTGGGTTTTAGTGTCTTCAGGGTTCTCCCCTTCATTTCCTTCAGTGGGTACCACAACCACATCTCCCACTGGGACACTCACTTCCGCATTAGCCATCTTTCACATGAAGTCAGCTAGCTGGGGCTGCTGTGAGAAACAAGAAGCGTGAGTAACTTCATCTTGAAAGATGCACAACTGCAGGAAGGGAGTGCCGAGACAACAAACAGCTCTGAGCACCCTGGACTCATCATCCTCTGCGAAGAACGAGGCCTGAGAGGAGGCTGACAGGACTGGCACAGGCTCCTAGTGTGCTTCACAGTCCATGTGACTCACCCAGTCGCTTGCTGGAGCCAACTCTACCACTCTACCAGCTCTCAGACCTAATTGTTTGTTTTTTGTTTTTTTTTTTTGGTTTTTCGAGACAGGGTTTCTCTGTGGCTTTGGAGCCTGTCCTGGAACTAGCTCTTATAGACCAGGCTGGTCTCGAACTCAGAGATCCGCCTGCCTCTGCCTCCCGAGTGCTGGGATTAAAGGCGTGCGCCACTATTGCCCGGCTGCTCAGACCTAATTGTGTATCTCCTCTCCTCTTACGTTTATTTATTTTTTTAAAAAAAAATTCATTTATTTATTTATTTATTTATTATGTTTACAATATTCTGTCTATGTGTGCCTGCAGGCCAGAAGAGGGCACCAGACCTCATTACAGATGGTTTGTGAGCCACCATATGGTTGCTGGGAATTGAACTCAGGACCTTTGGAAGAGCAGGCAATGCTCTTAACCTCTGAGCCATCTCCCCAGCCCTCCTCTTACGTTTAGAGCCATCAGATGGGTGGTTTGGGAATGCAGCACTGGGATGACACACGGCACTGAGATTAAGAGCACTAGAATTTAAGGTTTTGTTATTTAGGGTCTTCTTTGTTTTGTTTTTGAATCATAGTCTCACTATGAAATGCGGTCTGACCTGGAACTCAGTATGTACACCAGGCTGGCCTTAAACTCAAAAGATGAGCCTGCCTCTGTCTCCTGCTTTTCCTGCATCAAAGGCCTTTGTTGGGTTTTGCTGTTGTTGTTCTTTTGGTTTTTCAAGACAGGATTTCTCTGTGTAACAGTCCTGGCTGCCCTGGAACTCATCCTGTAGACTGGGCTGGCCTCGGGCTGGCCTCGAAGGAACCCGTGGCCTGCTGAGTGCTGGGATTAAAGGCGTGCGCCACCCCTCCCTCACCCCCTGGCTTGTTTTGGTTCTGAGAAGGGAATATTAATAAATAGTCCAGGCTAGCTTCAACTTGCTGATCCTCCACCTCTGCCTCCCAAGGGCCGGCATTACAAGCATGCACCACACCTGGCTTGTTTTTTCTGTAAATTGATTTACAACATAGATTGGTTCCATCCCAAAGAATGGGCCCTAAAAAGTAGGAATCGTACCTATTTTAAGTGCAAGTAGCAGTTACATATCAACTACGTATTACATACAGTGCTCTATCCTTTATAAATATACATATCTGAGTTCAGCTGCATAGCTGTTAATAAATGCTGAATTTACTGTACAATCTCTCTAAGACCTTTTTTTCTTTTTTTCCTTCCTTCCTTCCTCCCTCCCATTCTTTCTTTCTTAGGGTTGTGTGTGTGTGTGTGTGTGTGTGTGTGTGTAGTCCTGCCTGTCCTGGAACTTGCTCTATAGACCATACTGGGCTCAAACTCAGAGATCTGGCTGCTGGGATTAAAGATATGGACTACCACCAAGAGGCCAAGAACTTTTCTTTTTTCTGAAGCCCAGCCTAGTCTCAAACTCAAAGCAATCCTTCTGCCTCAGCTTCAGTGAGCTGAAATTATAGGGTGTGAGTCACCAAGTCTGGTTCTAAGAACTTCATGTTTTTGTTTTATTTTTAGAGATGGAGTCTCAAATGGCTGACTTGGAACTTGCTCTGGAGCTGAGAATGACCTTCAACTTCTGATCTTCCTGTTTCCACCAGGAATAATGGGACTAAGGTGTACACCTTAGTATACACCTGCAAGGGTCCCAGGAACATCTCAGCTCTTCAGAGGGAATGGAGATGACCCTGTCTGACAGCTCCTTGAAGAGTTACTGAGGAAACCATAGCCAAGTGCCATGTGCTCCTTCAACCTGAAATACTAACCCAATCTTTTTTATTATTGTTGTTGTTGTTTGTATGTTTATGCACATGCCAAGGCACACAAGTATACATTGATTTTATTTCAGTGCTAGGGACCCAACTCAAAGCCTTGTGTTTGGTGGTAAGCTCTCTAACAACCGAGCTTACCCAGAGCTGTGTGTGCAATCCTTTACACTATCCAGTTGAAAAGAAGGGGCCAGGAGCTGTGGCTCACACAACAACCCAACACTTGGGAGGCTGAAGCAGGGAATTATGGGGCATTTGAATTCAGTTTGAGCTACATAAACTGAAGGCCAGCCTGCCTTAAAGAAAAAAAAAAAAGGAACTTGCAAGGTGGTGGTGGCACATGCCTTTAAACCCAGCACTCAGGAGGCAGAGGCAGGAGAATCTCTGTGAGCTCAGGCCAGCCTGGTCTATAGACTTCCAGGACAGGCTTCAAAGCTACACAGAGAAAAGAAACTCTGTCTCAAAAAACCAATTAAAAAAAAAAAGTCACTATAGCGCGTGCAAGAAAAGACACTAAATGAATATAGATAAAAATGTGAAGGCAAGCAGAAGACAGCCATGTTGACTGTAGATGCACACTGGAATGTGTAGCTGGCAGCCAGAGACTCAAGTCACTCCTCAGCTCTGCCAGCCTTGAAAACAGACATACATAATGTGGTTCCCAGAGTGGACCTCACTGGCCTCGGCATACTCCAGCTTTATCTACACCCTTACTCTCCGACCGTGTCAATCACTCAGGTACTCTGAACACATACTAGCGTGCTACCAGGGCTCTAAGGTTTTCTATTCTCTAAGCTCTAGGCATCTTTGTCCCTAATGTTCTGTTCACTACTCCAGGAAGCATCACCACACTTTTCTTTTTTTTTAATTTATTTATTTATTATGTATACACTGTTCTGGCATGTATACCTGCAGGCCAGAAGAGGGCACCAGATCTCATTACAGATGGTTGTGAGCCACCATGTGGTTGCTGGGAATTGAACTCAGGACCTTTGGAAGAACAGCCAGTGCTCTTAACCTCTGAGTCATCTCTACAGCCCCATCATCAAGCTTTCTTTCCAGAATTTCCCCCAAATGTGGGCTGTCACTCCCTCTGGTTTTAGACACTGTCCTTCACTGCAGTTCCCCATGCAGACCTTGACAACCATAGCTAGTGTTCCTTCTCGTTTATTTGCTCTGTGTTCTGCACAGATCCGTGGACATGTGACCAAGTGTTTCACAACTGAACTATAACTCAAGGCTCTGAGTTCCTTCCTTCCTTTCTTGGTTTTTTGAAACAGGGTCTCTCTGTGTAGCCCTGGCTGTCCTGTAATTCAATCTGTAAAACAGAATTTAAGAGATCCCCCTGCCTCTGACTCCCAAGTGCTGAGATTAAAGGCATGAACAACACTCAGATTGTTCATGGTTTCTTTTTTCTTTTTTTTGAATTTTTGGAAAATTTTTATTTATTTATTTATTTATTTATTTATTTATTTATTTATTATGTATACAATATTCTGTCTGTGTGTGCCTGCAGGCCAGAAGAGGGCACCAGACCTCATTACAGATGGTTGTGAGCCACCATGTGGTTGCTGGGAATTGAACTCAGGACCTTTGGAAGAGCAGGCAATGCTCTTAATCTCTGAGCCATCTCTCCAGCCCCCGTTCATGGTTTCTCAAGACCAAGTCTTGTCATGTAGCTCAGGCTAGCATCAAATTTTGGCCTCTGACTACCAGGTGTATGCCAATTAGTCTCAGGGCTTAGGCACTGTTTATCTAAACATCTCTGTGCCCCAGTCACTCTCCTCAGATACGACACCGATAGATAGGTTGATTCCATCACTTTTGCATACATATATGACCTAATCAAATTTCTTCATATCTGGCTTTTAATCCCATTATCAGCCTCTACTACATTAAACTGAACCATATTTTCTCAAACCCACTCCTAGATTTCCTATTTCCCTAAGTGATATTATCCTCCACCCATTTTCAAAACGAGGGAACTCAGGAGTTATTTTTGCCTCCTCCTTCTAAACCCAATCAGCCACAACCCTACCCAGTCTAGTGTGTGCTCCTCCCATACTCCATCTGTGCAGTCAATACCGTATCTGGGCTGCCACACTGCTACCTGGGTTTTCCCGGCTCCTTTCCCATAGCCTAACCTTTGGTCTTGGATTCCTAAAATTCATTCCCACATAGCAACCAAAGTGATCCTACTAAAGGCCATGGGCCACATTCCCTCTTAAAAATGTCTTAGTGTATCCCTGTTGCTGTGAAATAAAGCGTGAGCTCCTTAATGTGGCCTCCTCACAGCCGGCACACTGGGGCTGTCACTGTTCTCCAGTTCTCAAACGTGCAACACTCCGGGACCGAGCCTTTGAATTTGCTTTCTGTCCCCCAGGATACTTTTCCTTCCTTTGGGCTAGTCTCTGTTAACCTCTGAAGCATCACTTCCTTGGAAAGGTCTTCAAATGACTTCCACCACTAGGTTTGAGCTTAAGCTCCTTTCCCATCATGCATTTTTTGCGTGGGGGGGGGGGTTGCTGAGGATTAAGGTGAAGGCTCTTCTGCTTATATAAGCGCAGGCTGTTTCCCCACAGGTGTGGTTCTGCTGTGTTTACCAAGCTGGCCTCTTAACTTGTAAGTCAAAAGGATCTCCTGCCACAGCCTCCACAGTGGTTGGACTTATAGGTTACTAATTTTGGGGAGTGACTTGGGATGGCCTTTTTTTTTTTAATTTATTTATTATATATACAATATTATGTCTACATGTATGCCTTCAGGTCAGAAGAGGGCACCAGACCTCATTACAGATGGTTGTCAGCCACCACGTGGTTGCCGGGAATTGAACTCAGGACCTTTGGAAGAGCAGGCAATGCCCTTAACCACTGAGCCATCTCTCCAGCCCTTGGGATGGCCTTGAAAAATCACTAAGCCTAGTTGGTCAGTGGAGGCGCACGCCTTTAATCCCAGCACTTGGGAGGCAGAGGCAGGTGGATCACTGTGAGTTTGAGGCCAGTCTG